ATACATGCATAAAATACTGATCATTGTTTTTCTGCAAAAGCAGCAACAAATCTGTGAGTTAATAAATCTTCCATAGTTTGTATGGCAGAAGGTGTTACCTCTTTGGTTTGCTTGCTTTTATTGTAAAAACAAGGCTCAGAGAGGGAAGGATCACTGGCAGTGGTAATAATATGACTTCTCCCATTTCTACTCGTTCTCAAATTAAACAAGAAAAAGGAGAGAGCTGAATTCCCCAGCCCTTGCAGTCAGTGCCTCTGACCATTCAGAAAGGATGAATGGGTTTTATAGTTCTTGAATCAACATACATCATCTAAACTCTTCAGCTTAGATGTCATTAATCTCGGGTAAATATTTGCAATAGGGGATAAAGAGTTTTGTATTGACTTGTTTTCTCTGGGCATTTTGAAACAAGTGTTTGACCCATAGGAATTATCTATTAGTGCATTACATGGTCAAGATCTTCAGTATTTAAACATATTAGACAACACTGCAACAGTTTAGACAACACACTGCAAAATCTGTAGTAGAAGTATTGATGCTATTGAAAATATTAAAATTATTATGAAGACTCCTCAAAATAGCACTTCAGAAAAGAATTATTGCCTTCTTAGTAGTGAAAGACCTCTACAGCAAGAAATTAGCAGAAGATTCCTTATGATTGCCGTGCATTCCTCCCCCAGGATTTGTTGCAACTGCATAAACCTCTGTGAATCTCCCGGGAGAATTCAGATCAAGTTTTGTGACAACAGTTTAATTTTCAGTGCTGTTGTGTTAGGAGTTTTTGCCTTGGAGGGGAGGTTGTATGGGAGATGGTTTAGAACTTGCAAAAAGTGTCAGTATTGGTGTCCTAGTGCTGGCTGAAAGATTGCCTAGTCAGTGGTGTGCACTCTGCCAGCTGATTCCTCCTTTCTCAGCATGATCATTCTGACAGTCTTAGAAATCTTGGCAATTCCTGCCTCTCACTGTGGTTTGATAATTGATTTTTTTTTTCCTCTTGACCTGCCTGAAATTGCTTCTTTGGATCTCTGTTGTCTTTGGATTAGTTACAGCTAATACAAAACAACAGGAGGTCCCAACCTGTATGCTTTATATGAAGGATGGGAAGGCAGAGCCTCAAGGGACCTTTAGTTGCTCTAGAGGATGGCTGTGGTTGGGTGTAGGGGATAGCTAGTGGTGGATGCCATGGAGTGACTGCTTTAAACTGGCCAAAGAAAGCTGATTGCTAGTGTTTTGTGTATCCAATCCCCAAGGCAGTGCATTGAGAAACTGCAAACCTGCTTTGTGATTATTTTGCCTATTAGTTATGTTCTCACTACAATAATGTAAGAATGACTGAGAGCACAAGCTATTTGTTAGTTTCTCAGATATTTTGCTTTGAAAAACTTCTCTAAGGTTTTCTGCTTTCTGTTGAGAGTTATTTCTAACCTCTTCAATAATCTCTAAAGAAATTACTGGGAAGATTTGCATGTTTGAACAGCCAGTAGATTCTGTGCTTTCATGCTGAAGTTAAAAGAAATGCTATTTGAGAAAATCTTATGTAGTCATTCTAAACAAAGGTTTGTGGAACATAAATAGCTTTGTATGCAGAAGTACATAGATTTAGCAGAATAGACTTAATAGGAAATTTCCTGATGTTAAACGTTGAGGTATCAGAAAAATATTTTGTCTATCTATCTCTAGAACATTCAGGACTTGGAGCAGGAAATAAGAAAATAAATAATAAATTGAAAAGCAAGCATAATTTCTCTGTCAGACACATGACTTTTGCTGCTGAAGGCCTTGGCAGATTTAAGGTAGATTTTGAAGGTAGAGATACTTCATCTTTGTGTGGTGAAAAAGTTGTTCTGGGCTTGTCTCATTTTTATGAAAGATTAGTTCATTGTTTGCATTCAGTGCTGCAAGTGAACTTTCTGTTGTCGTCACGTGAACAGAGATGGCCATTGTAGGCACCAGTGACAGTGTCATGTAACCTGAGAAAAAATTTGTTTTGTGTTTTTGTCTCTCCTGTTCTTCCCAGTACTGATTCAGTGCATTTTGCAATTCTTATTGGTCAAAGCCTTGTGTCTTGGGAACTTGGCAGGCATCTTTCCTCCCATCTTATTGATGGGATATTAGAAGTTAATAGTTGGGAATAGAGGCTCTGTTTCTGATATGGTATTTCAAAGGCCTCTTGGCTAGCTTGTCAGAATGCAATGAATATACCTGTTCAGCTTTTTTCTCTTTAGATGGAACTCCTCTTGCATATTCCCTAAAATCTCCAGATAAATGAATGCAACATGAGCAGTATGCATGCTGCAGTTGCAACTCTTCTGCTGCTGTGCCATTGCTCATGCTGCCTATGGGGCCAGCAAACATGTACATAGTTAAACAAGTGGTTGGTGCCTCTGAAGAATGTTGGGATGATGCAGCTTTTATCAGTTAGAGCCATTTGTCTGGTACAAGTAGTTTTAATTCACATTGTTCAATAATTAAGTTCAGATGTGTGTAGTGATTTATTTGATTTTATAGAACAGCTAAACACAAGAAAACCTCCTTCCCCAGATGGTTCAGAACTGGAATAGTTAAGTGTTTGTAAACTAAAGCATACAGATGAGAAGATTAATTCCTTGGTTCTGCTGATGTTCATTGATTAAAAGTACAGATTGAATTACAGTGTAATGACTGTATTTTTCTTTTCAGGACATAAAGGACAGTTCTACACGATAGAATGGATGAACAGTCACAAGGCATGCAGGGGCCTACTGCTCCACCATTTCAGCCACAGGTACTTATATCTGGTTTTTTAGTTGTTATTCATTTCTTGAATAGACAAAGAGAGAACATTTCTTGTGGGAGTGATGGAAGTGTAAACAGAATGTATTCTGGTGGTCTTGAAACTAATTGCATATCACTCCTGTATTTAATAGAAAATACTTACTTGACAATTTTGCCTCCTACTGCTTCACTGACTTTGAGGAGTTGGATTAGTAGTGTGAGTAGGAAGGCAGTTGTTTTCTTAAGTAGCATTGAGCTGTTAAACATTATACTTCAAAATTGTATCAGGAATACCGTATTTATTTCAGACTTCTACCTTCATCTTTCTCTTCTTACACTCTTGATAGTGATACTATATGTGTTAATGCTGTTACCTGTTGAAACCAGGCAACAGGTTGCAGCTTGACAACCTCTCTGGACTGCCCCTCACAGTGAAAATGTGTCACCTAATGTTCAGATGAAACCTGTGTTTCAGTTTGTGCCCATCACCTCTTGTCCTGTCATAGGGCACCGCTGAAGAGAGTCTGGCTCTGTATTTTTACACCCATCTTTCAGGAATTTGTACACACCGATGAGCTTCCCCCTGAGTCTTGTTGTCTCTAGGCTGGATGTTCACAGTGCTCTCAGCCTTTCCTCATATGAGCTGTGCTGCAGTGCTCTGGTCAGATGTTTGCAGGATTTCTTGCTGCCCGGGTGTGGGGCTTTGCAGTTCCCTGTGTTCAATTGCCTGAGGTTCCTGTCAGGCCATTTCTCCAGCCTGTCAAGGTCCCCTGGGATGGCATCATGACCCCCTGGCACATCAGCAATTCCTCTCAGTTTTGCATCAGCAGCAGACTTGCTGGGAGTGTACTTTTCTCCTCATCCAGATCATCAGTGAAGATGTT